AGAGAGAGAGAGAGAGAGAGAGAGAGAGAGAGAGAGCTCCTTAACGGAAAATGATCAGGAAAATTCAATAAATAATTTAAGTAAATAATTTACATGAAACAAAAGGAAAAAAGGAGGTACTAGCTGTGGTATAATATTCCTTTATAAGAGTAGGGGTGATTAATTTAAATAATGACAAAAACAGTGAATCTATAAAATTGCAGTGGACTTAATATAAATATATAGATCTGAAAATGTTGTGGTCAAAATCAGTCTACTTATTAGGACCAAAACTTCCAACTTGATGCGAGTTCAACATGTTTACTGGTCATGTTGGAAATGCCAGTCAGAAAGTTTGAGAATAAAAAGACACATAGTTATTCATTTATTGCCTTAACACGTAAAAGTGCAAGGTGCCAACACCAGCCGACAGAGGTAATATATTCACAAACAAACAGTGGTCTGAAACACTGTCTGTACATAAAAATGGAATTAAAATCAAATTCAATACTAAAACCATATGTAAGTCCAGATTTGAAAGTCATAGAGGGCATCATATTAATACATGGCATTATCACTAAGAAATAGGAGTAAATAAAATCTGTCATACAGCATCATACACAGTTTTAGGCCCATTTGTTTTAGAATCTTGTAAAACGTGACTGAACTGGTTACATGTCCTTTCAAAATGGGGTCCTTCCCAGAATACTTTGCCACAAGTTCCACATCCATAAAAGTACTCCATGCTGTTTAAAATGCCCTCTGGTACAGTTTCAACCATTAGGGGGCACCCTGTGTCCTGTATAGTTACATCTGATAGGACAATGCCAAGATAAGCCAGTGCTTTCTCATAGTGCCTCATATGAGGATCTAGGCGGAGTGTGTTTGGTGAACCAGGAGAAGGAATGTGTTGGCTGAGCACCTTTTTCCTCAGCCATGCTGCCTTCATTGCTGCTTGTGGAATTTTGATATAGTTGCTTCCATTACACACCTAAAAGATAAGTATAAATGTAGTCATTAGAGCATTCCAGATTGAAGGAGCAGTTCAGAGTAGTGTATGATCTATCTTGATACTGTAACAAACAATGGTTACCAGTTAGATTAAGACCTGTTATTTATTAAGTGGAATACTTAAGTGATGAAGCTGTACCCAATCACTTTGAGGGGTCCTTACTCTCTTTCACATGTTCTTCATTGTCACTTTATATAGCCCCCTCTTCCCACATCACAAAAAGAAATTGGGCATCAACACCTTATTGTTTCACATATGTTAAAGATGCATACAAAGTCAATTTTTTGTCACAAAAACCAACCAAGTGCCAGCATATAGTTTCAAGTAGTATAACTAAGAGAATTACCAAAAGGCATTGTATAATTTTACCCAAAAATGATGTTTGAACGGATTTTTCTGCTGGCATTCTAAGCTGTATGTCAATGGGGCAGGAAAGTAGGTCACGAATGTAGGTTAAATTTACAACCATAAATTTAAAGAAAGGAGCAGTCTAAAGGTCTTTTATGGCTGATCGAGTGATCTATTCAGTTTATCCCTTGGCATGTCGAATTTATTTTAGTCATATAAGAATCTAGTAGAAGTGGTTTACATGTGTTACTGGGAATCCACGCTCCACCGATGCTCGGTTCGTATGTACCTTTAAATGTAACATATCTTTGTTTTACAATCACAAGAAGACAGCAAATTACCCCTTTTTAAAATACTTTTCTACATCACTGAAACTTAATTACCCATTCACAATAATAATTATATTCATACCTGACAACGGCTGAATATATCTCGCTGCATGACTATCACATTAAAATGCTGTAAAACGTCCACAACTTGTTCCCTTTTTGATACATCACATGCAACGTTGTAGCACATCTCCTCACCAACGTGTCCTCTGATCTAAAAAATAACAAATCTTATTGTGATTATTCTTTTTTTTTCATACAGTCAGTGATAACATGGTATGACAGTACCTAATGGAACACAAATATTGTGGAAGTTGGTGACTATAGATTTTTAAAAAAGTATTACACATGTATATATCACAACATGGTGGTCTGCCAATAAAACTGTCGGCATAAAAACTTTATTAAAAGATAAGAAATACCCTGGAAGATAAAAATAAACAAGGACAATGTATTATCACTATTACTAGTGTATTAATAATCTATCCAGCAAAAATAATCAAAACACCCAACTTAATATCTTAGTGAATAATAAGTAATCCGTTGTACTGCAATGGGATTTCTCATCACAATAATTTAATTGTGCTTGCTTCTGGCATAAAAAGTTTTGACTCTACTTCTCTTGCAACATCCTTGTGATTTTTAATTTAAAATTATATTTCTAAAATACTATTATATTATTACTATATTATTTACCATCTTGTAAGGTTCTCCTGATGTGAGAATGATTCTATTTTGTTTTCTGGAAATCTGGAGGAAAGAAAATATAAAAACTTTGTACATCCTGTGTCATTTTTGTTTACAATACCATATTGTTATTACAGGTTTGAGATTGCTTCAAAATACAGTCTCAGTTTAAAAAATACTAGTGACTAATAGTAAAGCGTTACTATAATTTCTTTAAACATATTGGAGCACAAAAAATTATACACATTTTCAGTTTTACACCCAATAAAATGATGACGTGGATTTCCAGGGCTGGGCCTCTCACCTCAATGGCTTCACTGTGGTCTTCATGATCCTTTAACATAACCACATCAACTCCACAACAGCGGAGCTGTCTCCCTAAGCCACCTAACATATTATCTACAACCAGCTGGAGCTCACCTGGTGTTATGGCAGGCCTGGGGGTGGCAGTGGAATGACCTTCTCTGGCTGTCTACAATATATAAATATATAAATAATGAAATAAAATAATAAGTCACTTTATACTTAGTCTAGTTAAATGTTGGAAAAACATCAGCCCATGAGTTATTTTATTTAAATAGACATTTAAATACAACATGGTCTTATGACGGCAGTTTCACAGATTTTGTTCCTTTTATAAGGTTACTGATAGAAGTCAAGTTCAACACTTTTGCATGGAATAATTTATGAATACTAGGCTATACAGGCAATTGATTTACATTTGCTCTTAAAAATACATCTAGTTATTCTGAAGATGTGAAGTACTTCTGTCTGCTTCACTCCAAAATTCATGTTATTAAATTACATTTTTAAAAAAATATCTACCACACTCTTTGACTAATTTTAAACAAAATCCCATCTAAATCAATATTGAGAAGTGAAATATATTTCTAAGCTGTATATAAGTATCAACTATAACAATATTGTACCTGATCTTGATGCTCTGCAGTTTGTGGAGCTAACTCTTTCTGTTTTTCTCTGACATGATCTTGCTTTCTTTGCTGTCGAGACTTTTTGCTTCCCTTAACATTACCAATAGGAATGTTTGGTTCAGGATTCACTTTCAGTCCATAGGCAGTGATCTTAGATGTCAAGACCTGATACACTTCCAACAGCACATACGCATCCAAGGCTGAAATACAAGCCAAATTATTTTCACTGATAAAACAATTGACCAAACATTAAGTTTTTCTCCCAAGTCATTAAACATATTAGCAGCCATAACATACATACAAATTGCATCTGATAAGATTAAAAATTAAATTGGTTTATTCAAACTGACTGTCACTAAAATCCAACCTTCCGTTAAATCTGTGTTGGTTTTTAAAATATTTAAACAAAACAAGATAACTACCAATGTGGCTTTTAAATTAAGCAAACTGCTGTAACACACAATCATCCATTCTAAGTCAAATGCAACATACACAAAAAGGAACCCACCAGCGTAAGTGATCTGAGCAGGTCTGAGGGGTCGCCTCTCCCAGTCTGACATCTGCTGTGACTTGTTCAGTGGCTTACCAAGGCACTGTCTGACCAGGTCACTCAGGCCGCGCTCTTCTGTCTTGAAAGTCTACAACATAACACAATGTTTTACATCAACTGATGAGTTATCATGTTGTCTATTTCATCATTTCACAGTCCAACCTTTAAGGAATCCAAACATGACAAAATGTGAGAGAAGAAATTGACACCATTTTTTATTAATTACCAAATTAAATATGAAAAGGTTTCCATAAGGAATGATTTTCTTAAGCATTTTTTTTTTTTTTTTTTTTTTTTTTTTTTGCATTTTGAAGGGTTTCCATAAAGACATATTTCATTGAACCAAGTAAAACTATCACCAAAATTGCCCATGTGGCACTGTGTCTTCATTTCCTAAGATTTTTTAAATTTTGGCATCAAAATTATAACATTTTTTCTGTGGGTCATACCATGTAAAAAGACCAACCTTTATAACTGTATATGACTTCTCACTGCAGGGAGCAGCACTTGCACTTCCAGAATCTTCTACAACCTTGTCATCATCACTATCATTCTCTTCCATGCCACTGAAGTCGGGAACCCGTTCCTTTGGCATTGATTTTTCTATCTGGAAAATTAATACAACAACACTCATTAAATCCTAAAATTTCAGTTACTTAAAAATTAATATAACGAGTAGAAAATGAAGAAATTTAAGTTCAATGAGACATGGGTAGAGCTAAAAACAGCTTTAGTAAATAGTACTAGTACTAGTCTACTGCTACCAGGGACCAAAGACATTGTTGGTTTTCAAATGAGAGACTGAGTAAAGAAAGCCACTGAATTAGTGTCTCATCAAAGAAAGAAGAAAATCATGACTTTTAGTATAAAACCAACACCATTACCATGTGACCATTCTGCCACCCAAAGTATTACAAACAATTATTTTATATTCCACTTCCTTTTAGCTGTTTTGTCATAAACATCAGTCATGTGTCAGCATACAAATAAAATGCCATTTAAAGTGAGTTGTCTATAATTTTTACAGACTCAAATATAAATCACTCCACACGGTTTGTGCACTGTCCACTCACTCTAGCATGAAGAGTCTGCAAGTCCACCATTCTCTTGGTACCCAGCAGAGGCTCCTGCATGGAGGGGATCTTTTTAACTAACATCTGAAGGTCTGAGCCAAAGCCATAGCCGAGTTTTAACACGTGGTCACTAGCAAACACAGTGACGGCAAACTGCTTCCAATCCTCAGCAGTCAGTCTTTCCGTCAATGCTAACATGTCCAGGAGAATGATGACATTCTGAGTGGCCAGCTGGAATAAGGCCATGCGTTGTGGCGTGGACGCTCCAAATGACGGTCTCCACTCTGCATCCATGCCGATGATGTTTCCAGGCTGAAGGTGGACAAAGTTTTACTTGGATGTGAAACATCTGACAAACATCTAAGTCATATCATAAATTTGTCAAAAATTAGTAATTATAGACTTTTTAAAAACAAATAATAGACAATGATAAACAAGTAATAATAGACTTCCTAAATACAAATGCATTATTTAGTGCATGAAATTATAGGCTTATCCATTTTTTCTCTGCAGAAATACGACTCAAAGAGGACTTACCTGTGATATTTCTCTGATGTGTTGTAAAAAATCTCTCCTGTTATCAACAAATATGATGTTCTCCTCTGGGAAGTCGAGGGAGTAGTACGCAGCATCCTCGACTTCCTTCTCACTGTAACATTCACTGTCCCAATCTGCACTCTCTGCTTCAGGGCTGGAGCTGTAAATCAGAAATTGTCATCAATATCTTCTACAAACACAACACTCAGAAGAGTTTTAATAATATCCAATCAAGTTTGGATTCCAGGAAGCAGACAGATGTAGATAATGAGTCATAAGTCAACTGTGTTTTACATAAAACCTGATGCGCCTTTAGTTAATATGTAATAAAATAAGAAGGCTCAGATGAATTAAAATTGGAAATCCCCCAAATTATATAGTAGCGATTCTCCTTACTATTCTGCATCAGCCATAGTATCCCGTAAATGCTCAGGCAGTTTTTCATAGTCAATGTTGTAATATCTTGCCCACTTTACTGCCTCTGCCACCTCATTGTAACCAATTAAAAGATCAATTAATTGTTCCTTTAGAAAGTCAGTGGTCACAGCTCCTTCAACCAGTTCATTCCAAATTTCTCCAGTCAAAGATTGCTGAAATTGGAAACGATTAATCAAAATATGCAAATTTTAAAAGCAGTTTACAGAAAGTGACAATGTCTTAATTTTTTACTTTTTTTTTGCACAACTGCAACTGCATTAAGCAATGTATTTGCATATATACATGCAAAAATACAGTTTGATCAAAAATACAAATTGCAATTCTTTAAAAACATTTTTTTTTAATTAGCAGGAAAAAACAAAGTCATACCTCAATATACCGTTTGTACATGAGAAACTTCAATCCACCAAGGCTTCTAGCATTACAAATGTTTGGACACAACTCTGAAGTTAAATATACAATGCATCTTGAACAGGGGCAATCTAACATGCAGCATTTAATGTACAATTATAATTTTCAATTTTATAATGATGACTAGCAGTATATTGCTAAAAAGGCATGTAATTGGAATACCTTATACAAAACAAAAGACATACAAAAGAACAACCTATCAAAATGTCAACAATTCAACTTTATTGCAATCTAATCACATGAAAATATTTCCCCCGAATGCTCAAGAGGATGCACCTACACATAGGCTCCATTCAGAATAGGGGACTAACTAGTCCGAGGGTCAAATATGGCGACCCACTACAAAGCTTGCCATCTAATCCATTAATAGACACTGAATAGATATCCCATAGGGAAGTATTCAAGAGGGTCGGCCATATTTGACCCTCGGACTACTTAGTCCCTATTCTGAATGGAGCCTGAATGGAGCCATTCTGAATGGAGCCATGGCATATACAGATCCCATTCATAACCAATACATACCTGGAGGAATCTGGTACAGCTTCATTAACCTGATGGCCAACTTGCTTAGAACTTTAGGATGCAGTTTGTCCCGTTTTATCTTCGATCTTGAAATTCCAGACTTGCTGAAAACAAGATCAATGTTCAGATCATAAATCAATTTCTATCAACTTAATATTCATTCAATAAAACTGTGTATAGATACTTAGTATCAATAAGACAGGATAAACCATTAAGCAGAGATATTTATGTTCATGTGCGAAAAAAAAAATTTGCATAGATCCGTAGACTGTAACTTTGCATTTTCTCTGCTAACTTGATCACATCTAAATTGCATGAAGCAATCATCAAGCAAAGGTTGTCTATGGATCATGCAAACTGAGACTTTCTTTGAGTATCAACAGGTCTTGTAAACTGTCCTACATTCCCAAGAGAATGACATCCGTCTTTGTTTTAATCACCTTAGTAGGTCTTCCAAATCAAAACTGCGATCACACATCCTGTCTAGTAAGGCTACCACATTTTCCTGCTGCTGCTTGTCTCGAAATACATAATTTTCTATTATATTCACCTTGTCTTGTAGAAGGAGAGGAACAATAATCTGTAAGAGAAATTACCAATTCTTTGAGATATCAGGTCTCAGTCATTTGAAAGTTGATTTTCTTTAATGGTTTTTATCATCTGGGACCATTACTGTAAGATTATCTATATTCTATCTACTACACGTGCAAATTTAACCATATTCAAAGCTTTTCTCTAAATTCAAATTCTAACTTGTAAAAATTCATTCAGTGTTACACAGATATCTGATATTGAAACACTTTTTATCTCATAACACCTTTTAGTACATAACTTCACAAAAATTTATTGTGCATTTTATATCAAAACCTGTCCAATTTCCTTTTACATGACCCCTTACTACCATTCAAATAAACTATACAATATATGGATCACCCAGTCTGCAAATGACAAATCTGTCACAGACAGACTTACATGTAACCACCTTTTGCCCAGTAAATTCTAAAACTTACCTCCTCTATTCCAAAATGGCTCTGCAGGTTTAGTTTAGAAGCAACAGTGGCAGCCTTGAAATATGTACATACAGAACATCAAGCAAAGGAAAAAAAAAATACATGGCAAAATATCGTAACTATATTCATGAAGGTACTTGTACCATTTTGAACAAGAATAGTGTAGAAAAATCAATCTAATTATGTTAATGCTTCTGCATATCTTACTTTTCCAATATATCAATGAAACAATGACAGCATACAGCATCAATCAAATCATTATGCAAACAAAGTGTAAAAAAACCTGATAAATTAATATTTAAAATCCATAAATGTGAATGGAAGTTTAAATACCTCTTTATCCTTTCCCTGAGAAATGAAGGCCTTCACATATGGCACAAAATAGTCATTCCCAGAATGTCTTAGGCAAAAAGACTTCACAACAGGATCAAACAGAAGCATGTGAAAAGTTGTTACAAGCCTGAATGCTTTTAGTTTTAAACCATTGTTTAACAAGTGCTCAAACTGGCTGCCATTGTCTTTTGCCCATTTTTCAAACTCTCTCATCACCGTAAAAGAGAGAGAGACAGTTTTGCCTGCACGTAAATCTTCACAATTTTCCACTAAAAAGATAACAGTCAGGTAGGGGTTTTCTGAGGTGCTAAAAGTTCTCTGACAAATTTGGCTGATTGAGCTTTTAAGTTTATCTCTGTCTTTTGTCTCCGTCCAAAGCTTTTCCAGCTCTACAAGAACGCTTTTGTCTAAAGACCTGAAAAGGATTTTAAAATTTATCCCAAACGGCTAAATGTAAGTAATATTTGAAATGTAAAATGAAAAAAAAAAAAAAATTAAATAATAACAGTTTTAAATAGTTTTTATGAGAAACAGAATATGATAAATTTTGAAAAAAAAAAACAAAACGGTATTTGTGTACTTACTGTCTTTGCATCAGAGCACAACTGAATAACTTTTATTCATCAATTAATTCATAATTTATAATATACTAGTAATGTTTACAATGTAAAAGCATTTCAACACAAGTTCTATATGCTGCACATACTTTTGTTCCTCTGATGCCATATCTGAATTGCCAATCTTCTTCTGCAACACTGATTCCATCCATCCAACATTGACATTAGGGTTGCCCTTCTTCAGTAGTTCCCTATTCAAGTTACCTAGGAAAATGCAGAAAATCAGTAAATTTTTCATTAAAGGTTTCATGTAAATGGTCTCATTTGGCTTTTTTTTTTTCTTTATTTCTTCTTCATCTCAACTGATATACTTGCAGTCTATATACAAAGAACACACCAGACAATACAAGACACACAAGTATACATAAGTAGAAAATTCTACTGGTGTATGAATGAAAATGTGATATTTTTTTCTTTATTTTCTCCTCATTTCAACTGATATATTTGCAAATAGAAAACATCTGACAATATCTCCCTATATAAACACACAAGTCTACATAGCAGAATATTCCACTGTTGTATGAATAAAAATATGATTTTGAAATTCAATTTTCATATAAATATATTTTTTCAACTCTACCACTAGGCAAGTTTTTACTTTACCACAAGACAGCGACTTAAAAATACCTGAATTTCTATACTGCTGGGGTTGTGCTTGCCGGCTTACAGTTGTATCTTCCAATTTTCCACATATCTTAAAATAAGGAAAAATATTCAGTAACAAAACAAATAAAGCTCTTCAACATAATAGCTGGATTGTTGCTCCTTTTGATAATTTCAAACATAATCAACACAAAAATGATCAATTTTCAGATAAGTCTCCCATTTCAGATAATGCTGAATTTTAAACTATACTCAGACCAACTGCAATTTTCCTAAATTCAATTTTACAAAGCATAGAGCCCCAGCTATAAACCCTGTATTAAGTCTTACCCCTTGCTGTGCTAAAGCTTCAGGATGTTCTTTGTCCAATGTCTGCTGTGGGCACACCCCAGGTTTTGTTACAACAACTCTAGCACTTAGTTCTTGGAGATTTTTAATGGAACTTATTCCTAAAAATAGAGACAAAAAAATCATCAATGTATATAATTAATAGAGCTGCATAATAACAATCATTAACAAACCATCCTCTTAATATTGGGCTTCCTGGTTGTCTGATAGACAGTATCTTTCCATATAATAAACATAAATCTATTTTCATGTTGAAGTGTGATAAATTTCTTAGAACTTGGTAACTTTATGTATTGCTTTCCATAGTAAAATCCATTGTATCTTATAAATATCTTTTTTTTGTCACTCTCTTCCATAAATAAGACTATTGTTACTGATAATCTGGTGGTATCACTGTTAGAAAGTCACAGGGATGAGACAGATATGAAAAGGCCACCTAAGCCATTGATATTTTGGGCTCCCAAAAAGTCGGAAAAAACCTCATCCATGAAGCCATGAAGAAAGGAAAAGAAATAACAGGGCAAAGTTTGGGGCAAAAAGATTCGTGTATCTCCATAAACCGAATGGAAATTAACAAATGAGCTTGTTAAGGTTTTAAGGGTGCTTTCGGTCTGCCGCCTTCTCGAGTGTGTTCAGTAGAGAGATTTAGTTTCTGTTCAGGCTGTATAAATTTATATCAACAACAACAGCCTCAGCATTTCACTAACATGCAAGTTTCTTATAGTTCAGATCCCTCAACTGCTTGTCAACCTTAACTTCACCAACAGGAGATATCAGAGACCGTAAATAGGAGTGCTAATTTACGCATGCTATTTCCAAGTTCAACTGCTAGACACGCAAGTTGCTCCTACACAGCATTTGCTATCTACGCCGTTTTCAAGTCATTTTCAAGCCATTCATTCAACTTACCTCTTCCTCTACCTTTACCTCGACCTCTAGGTTTTTCCTAAAAATTTCTCCATGGCGTATCTGACAAAAAAAGCGATTAAATGTGTTAAAATTATCATTTCTCGATGAACACAACCTCCATGCTTATTTTGCGCTTGCAACAAGGAATTTGATAGGATGATCTTTTTGAAACAGGAAATGATCCAATGAAAAGTGATTTGATATAAGGACGTGGACAAAAAGGCCAAGGTCAAAAGAAATGGTAGGAAGACAAGACAAGTGTCAGTTGTTAGTGCTTTTGTGTTGGATGTTTTCATCAAATTGTTTTAACACTTGGTGGTTATTTATCTTTAGTGCACAGTTTAAATGAAAATAATTTTCATTTTGATTTGTAGGCTACAGGTGCGGACCAGGTGGTTGGTGTGGGCATTGTTGGTTTGTCAGGAATAATATTTACCTACTATACGTTGTGGTTGGTGATACTGGTATGTGGTAGACTCTCATAATAAACCCGTATTCATTCCATGTGATAATTCCACGCCCATTGCCAAGATCTCACTTTTTTATTTGAAATTTTGATTGTTTAATAGATCATGGTATCATTATCAAAAAAATAATAAGTCTGGCAAGTAGCTTTGTAATAGAAACCATAATAAATATAGTAGTAATTCTCATATAAGTTTTAAGTAGTTTTAGTTTCCATTGAATGAACAATAGTTTCCAATGAATGAACCAACAAAAAAGGCCTGTTTATAATGATCATTTTATTAATTTATTTTTAGCCATTTGTTGACTCGGACCATGTGGTGCAGAATTTTTTCCCAGACAGAATTTATGCAGTCACTATACCAGTGGCTGCAGGGGTGCTTCTTTTAGTTGTTCTATGTACATGTTGTATCTTTCATCTCATTTTATTTGTAGTTGACGAGATTCTTCATAACCTGACAAATTGAGTAATGCATAATTGTAGTCTCTTTTTTTAATGAGTTCCTGTCTAAAAGAATTACTCAGTTACTATATCTTATCTTGCAAGTAACAATTACATTCAGTCATGCAGTTCATGTTGTGCAGAAATATTTTATCACAAAAGACATGCATAAAATAGTTCCTCTGTGGTACCTTCAATGTGAAATGGTAATTTGCTGGCAATGCTCACCACAGGCTACAGAATAATTGTTAACTGGCTAACAGATACTTTGGTCATGCTTTTGAATTTTGTACAAATGTATAGTTTAGTATAATTTCTTTTTCTAGGTGCATTCATAGCAGTTGCCAAGTTAAAAAGCAAGTCCAAAGAAAAGACAAACTGAAATGAAGCCAGTAGAAAGTAAAAATGCAAAAATTGTAACAGTGAAAAACATTATAAATGTATTACCTTCTAAAAGGTAATTTCACCATGGGGATATCATAAACCATTAAGAAAATGGAGAAATGAAGAGTAGTATGTTCAATACTCTATTCCATATCCATAAACAGAAAAAGAATTTGTTTGTGATACATTGACATGACTAAAGTCCTCTGTTTGACATATACTGTACACTATTTCTGCATTGTATATACTTTTTTTTTATTTTTACTCTCCTGTAAATAAATAAAGTTGTGCATACATGATAATGCAATTCAATTGACCAAATTCATAAAACATTATAAAGAGCAAAATTGTTGCCCCACATTTTATGCATCTATTTTAAATATTGATGCCCTGTCCATATAGCTGCATACTGCTGATCTCCTTTTGTTATAAAAGCCACCATAGCAAGGATAACATTCCATCTCTTTCTAAAGTTTATCTGTTACAGTTCACAATTTTGGTGTTGCAGCTGAGGCAGCACTCTGCAGTAAAACCCTCGCATCTTGCAACTGCTCTACTCCATCAAAAGCTTTGGTTCCTGAAGCAGTAAAACATGACTTGATTTTTTATCAGCATAAAATGGGAAAATTCTGTAGAATTTAACTCAAAAGTCTTATGTTTTTCAATTTTTTTCGTACGTGCAATTAACAAAACTTAAATGTTGTCAGATATTGTGAAAATAGTGAAATATGACTTTAAAAAAATGAATACCTACCCAACATATTTGCTTGGTCTCTGTAAAAAGCCTTGGCCACATTTTGGAATTCCTTCTGATAATTTGCTGTCTTCATTAGTTGATCTATCTGTTAAATATGAAAAGTATGGATTCATGTTATTTCCCTGCCAATATAAACAATACAAAGTATCTTGATGTACCAGGTTATCAGGTAAAACACTTCCTGGTCAACTTGGGTGTAATTTATTTGATGAAAAAATAATAAATAAATAAAATTCTCCACATCTTTACCTGTAACTGGGTCCTTTCTCCCAAAGTCTGCAGGCTCTGAAGCATGTGATTTAAGTTTAGTTTTCCATCTAGAAGCTGTTTCTGCTGTCTTGACAGTGTGGAAGGATGCTCTGGTGACAATACCATCTCTTTTGCTTGTCTGAAGTTGAAATTTTGATGTGTTGAATAAAAACCAGAGTACTGAAGGAATTTCTTCCATCATTCAAATACCATAGATATATACAACGAATTTAGGTCAGAGAAGGTTTATAAGGTGATTTACAAGTGTATTTGACCTTTATTTTGAAGAAATCTTTTTTTTTTTTTTTTGCACCTTAAGTTGTGAGCATTGCTTGGATTTAGACAAAAAGATGCAAAAATACAACTCATAAAACAAATATTCAATTAAAAGTTTGCCTTCAATTAATAATTGACTTTATGACATTGAACCATCATGTCCTTACTGTTCCATTTGAGCTGCAGCATCTTCTCTTTCTTTCATCAACTGAGCCCATGTAGCATCTTCTGCCTGCAATCTGAAGGTAATATAAACTCTGAGTAATTGTTCGAAAAGCATCTTTGAATATGAAAACATCATCAGTTTTGAGAAATCGATTTAAATTTTTTTACTTTCTAAACGACTACAAGCATAAAACGGCCTATTTCAATGAAACATTTTGACCTTACGAAGGAGCATAACAGAAACATTCCTGGTTAGTATGGGTGGCCAAAAGGGCAAAAATTCATGTCGTCGATTCACTGCCTTCCCATCGATTCAGTTTCAAGTTTAAAGGACCCTATTATAAATCAAGCATCTATATTCGTCAATTCAATTGTCAAACATTGCTCATCAACGGTGTATTCAAACCAATGCTGTCACTATTTTCATCGATCGTGTAACTATTCTCGTTGATCGTCTAACTATTCTCGTCGATCGTCTAACTGTTCTCGTCGATCCTGTAACATCACTTCATCATTCATCAATCGATCGGCATAGAAATGTTTGACAACTGAATTGACGAAAATAGATGCTGAATTTATGATAGGATCGTTTAAACTTGAAACTGAATTGATAGGAAGGCAGTGAATCGATGAAACATAACTGAATCGACGACATGAATTTTTGCCCTTTTGGCCGCCCATAGGTTAACCTGCATATGTGTATGTCTGTTATTATTGTTCATTTATATATTTATTTTGCACAACACAACAATACCAGCATTAAATCACACAATATGACAGCATTCTTTGTGTGCCAATGGAACTACCTGTCCCTCCAACATGACCCCAGAACAGTTAATATAATTTACCTATGAACATGCCTCACCTGTCAATGTGACCCTGATACTCAGATGCTGCTTGTTCAATCTCACTATTCACTGGATTGGGTAAACATCTGCAACAAAAACAATAATATTACTCAAGCCCAACCAAATTTGCTCCCTTCACCATTTTTATTAAAAGTTTTCTAAGCAAATATACTTTACAACAATAGAACTGGACTAATTTAAAGATTAAATGTTATCTTACAAAAATAAGTTTTGAAGACATAATAATAAAACAGCAACAACAAGAAAGAGACAGCACGATGAAGCCACACTTGCCTTTTGCCTTTGTTGCATGCACGGCTAAATTTACCACTAGTCTCCAACTTTGATATAACCCCAGCCACTGCATCACGAGCTGTAAAGATTTTGCATAAAAAATGATAACAATAATACTACTTATCACAAAAACCTAAAAAATAATTAGACACAGCATTACTACCACCAGCTACAAATTATGAGAAATATTGCTATCAATATTAACTTAAGATACTGCACCAGGTATATTGTTCTTTCTTATAGTATTCAATATTTGTTTTGTTTTTTAAGTAAGTTGGACAAAATATGTCATGTACTCAAATCATGACTGATGTGTTTGTTACATTTACCTTGAACTTCAAACTGCTGTACTCCATCCAGATCTGAAAACTCTTCACTCAGCTTCTGCAGTGTGAACTAAAGGTAGAGTATACATGCCAAATAAAGATTTTGTAAACTTGTCATTGGGGAAGGGTTTTTATTGATGGCCCCATTCAGAATAGGGATCTAACTAGTTCAAGGGTCAAATATGGCCACCCACTACAAAGCTTGCTGACTAATCTGCTAATAGACATTGAACAGATATCCTGTGGGGAAGTATTCAAGTGGGTGGGCCATATTTGACCCTGAGACTAGTTAGTCCCCTATTCTGAATGGGGCCTAAGGCAACTTATCAGCAAAGTTAAGACATGCTTTCATATTACCTCAAGGCATTCCTTCGTTAATCTACTTAGTCTTTCCTCTCCAGGGAGCTCGGAAGGAATACCAACACACAGTTCTAGAAAAAAAACAAAACAGTTACTGAATCACAACAATTCTCTTCATTATATTCAACATACTAGTACAAATATATTTGGGGGCAAAAATCACAGATTAAAAGAAGTTATTACCTTAAATCAGTTAAAATAATTATGTTTAAAAAATTTTTTGTACATAAACTTCAACATACAAAGGCTAAATGCTTTTTATTTAACAATCACAGCTGCTGACGATGTGATGACCCCAACTCAAAAATTACTTACATAACAATTAATAACCTTAATACAAATCAAATAGATATTCTGAAATGAAATACCTGCAGATGTAAGTGCACTCAATGGTTTATTAATTCTTCCTCTCACAAAACTTGATCGCCTTTTGGTGAGGTGCCCTGTTGTGGTGCGCCTCTTCTTCTCTGGTTCCTGAAATGGATTTTAAAGGCAAATTTTAAACATAATGTGTTTTTGCAATTAATTATTAAATAGCAATAAAAAGCAAATGTAATAAGTGTAATGTGTAATTTTTAAAGATTTTTACATTGCTCACTTCTCTGATTTTTTTCAATTCACTTTTCAATTCATTCCTGAAAGATCTTCATTATATCTTTCTATAAAAATAATATTCCTACATAAAATACCTCAACTTCAGACTCTGTATCTTCAACAGCTATTTCCACCTGGAGTTTTTCAGTAACTGGAGAATGTGCTCTCTTTAATGAGCTCTTTGTAGTTTTAGTCACTGTTTCAGTCTGTGAACTTGGCTTGATGTCAATGTGTGACTTGGGTGTTGAACCTGACTCGGCACCACTCTGTGATATGGGGGTTGAATTAGCTCTGGTTTTACTCTGTTGTTTGGACGCTGAGGTGGACCTGGCTGTCCTTGATGGTCTTGAAGTTGACCCAGACCTGGGTTCACTCTGCGTGGTCTGTAGTCTGGAAGAAACCCTGGCTCCTGAACCAGATCCGTCAAGGGCCTTTGAAGATGATCTGGAGTAAATATATATTCACCATTTCTCTATTTCAATCGTCATTTTGCACTTAAAGGCATGTATTAATCGTTAAATTAGTAAATGAACTGCCAGTCTAATCTATTTTAATCGCATAAGCACTTCTCAAAGTCATAACGCAATACTTCGAAAATATATTGAAGTTTTATGGTGGGCTAAATGGCTGACAAATTGTTGAATTTTCGAAGAATTTCGTGATGCTGATAGCCAAGTCAGGTACATAGCCAAAAATTTACTAAACTCATAAAACTTGTGGGTTTCAAACAGTATTGGAATTAAAATAAGTTTGATTAAGGGTAAATGAGCTGACCCAAGGCCTTACAAGGGACAAGCGGGTACACAGGCGAAACCTTACCTTGTAACTCGAATGTTTGGAGTTTCCGCCATTTTTTCTGATCTTTAAAATGTATAGCTCCTAACCGCCGATTATATAATGACCAAGACGTGCTTGAGTTGACGACGTTACGAGAATAAAAAATAATTTTACGTTATCTCTGAATATATTATTTCATTTTTTCTTTGACAGGGGGATTTGATAGATCTGAAAGTAGTAATTTTATAACATTTCGGAGGTTTATGTTTGTTCTAAGGCCATAAAGATTACACAATAGGGTATAAATATTCACAAAATTACTGGCGAATGCAGAGTGGCACAATTACAAATGGGAGATTTACTCACTAAAATTTAACAATGGTACGGAATTCCGTTCAAAAAAGGACATATATTACCTTCAGCAAACAATGGACCCCCTTCTGATAATATACTATACCATCATGCAGACAGTTTAGCAAAGTTCACCTGTAGAAAGAGAGACAAAAAGCAAGGGAGAGTTTCCATTGCTAGTGCCTTTGTTGAATTGTTGATATCAATATCTGCTTGAGATTAGGGTTATTACCTCCGCCAAGGAGGTTATGTTTTCACGCCTGTTTATTTGCTTGTTTGTCTGTCTGTCTTTCTGTCTGTCTGTCATCAACTTAACTCAAAATGTTATGGACCGATTTTGATTAGCCTTAATTCTCAGGAACTGCCAGATGTGGGACAAGGAACAGATTATTAGTTTTGTGGTATTGATCCGGATCAATAATAAATCAATAATCAATAATAATAATAATAAATTGCTGCCTTGGCGGTCTGCGCTCTCGGAGTGCTTTTCTAGTTATGCCCTCAAGTTCTCTGTAGCAGTAATTAACAATTTTCAATAATAGTTTAGAGTGGAAAATGCTCAAAATGTAAAAATAGTAGGCCATGGCTCCAAAGTAACAAACGGGACAGTAATTTCTTTGAAATTAATAACAGCAGTGGCAGATTTAGGGGGGTGCCAGGGGAGCCCTGACCCCCCCCCCCCCCTTACCCTTTGATTTCTGAAAAAAATCACACCAATGGTTCCCTTTCGAAATAAGAATTTGACTAGCTGAATCATAGTTCTAAAGCTTACCAAATGGCACCGTTGGCCCTCTAAAATAGGCCCCTACCAATTTTTTTCGGGACCCGAATCCCACGCCAAGGAGGGGGGTCGTGTCGGCTTCACATCCGCGGCCTGTCATTTCTAAAAACCGACCCCTCCTAATGTTGGGGTCTTGGTCATTAAACTGATACACAAACGCTAGATACTTTTGAAAATGTGAAAAATACTATCAACAATAAGATTGAGGGACTATTTTGCAAAGACCTGACAAGTGACTACTATAGTAAACTTAGGACATATAGATTACTTAAAAAACGTACGCCCCTGAAAAATATCTCTTAATGAAAACCACGCCATCGGAAATAAAGACTACTGCGAAAATACGGATAAGTGACCACAACTTGGAAATTGAACGGGGTCGCTATACTTCTCCTGTCCCACTGAAAATCGTAAGTGCCCCCACTGTAATGAAATTGAAACGGAAATTCTTTTTTTTTACTGAAATGTGAAGAACATGGTGACAGAAGAGTCTCCTGAGCAGAAAACAGATCATGAGTGGCTGCTCAGTCCTAAAAGTGAAACATGTATTTTGTATTTATATAGATGTTATAATTCTAAAGTAGGCTAGAGAGCCTGTAAAATGTAACTTGTACACATTTTAGTGCTCAATAAAGATTATTATATTCCTGGATCCGCCCCTGCTAACGGTAAACAGGTGAAAAATAATTAACATCGTAAGCATGGGCGCAGTTATTAAATCTCGTCTCAATTCGACTGGTCGAGGGACGACGCGCGGGGTGGCGTGTGAGAGGCGGAGAGACCATTACAGGATTTAGCGGTCTTCCTTTTAAGTCCGCCATATTTAGGCCGTGGACTAGTTAGCACTGGGATCTTCTCATTCTGTATGACCCCTAATTTCCATCAAAATTTCAAGGCGTCCAACTTTTGCAAGTAAATTTCAAGGAGGCAGGATAAAATTAATCGGTAACGATCTCCCGCTGATGATCTTCCGCAAACGAACTCCCTTGAACGAATGTGAAATTTGTGCACTCGTCTCGCGAACGATCTCCGGCTTCTGATCATGATCTTCCGTGAACGAAGTATCTCTGCTTCTCATCGCGCTTCGACGCGTACGATCTCCGGTAAACTATAGCTATCTACCGCCACGGAAGTCCCTTAAACGAATATGAAAATTGCTTTCTCGGATGCTAACGATCTCTCGCGGAGGATATGAAATGTGTCTTTTTGTCAATCAGCGTTGTCAGGTGCCATGCGTATGAAGGTATCGAAGGTGTATGAAGGTGTCCCCTCTCATAATTTGGTATGTTTGCTCAGACTTCGTTCAAGGCCTACACGTGTTTTGTACCGAATGTAGGCCACTCTTGTTACTGCTGTGTTCGGCGTGGATTATGTATTTCAAAGTTGATGGAATCATTTTATTGTTTTGTAAGGTCTACATGTAGGTGGTAGTTACGTCGTGACTGAATAACAAAGTAGTATTATTCAACTGGAACACATCATTCAAGCTGGGTAGGCCCTACGTCAAATAATTATAGAGAATTTCGTACGACGTCCAAAGCCGCCCCAACAAGCGAAGCAGTCATTTTTCAAAAAAAATCTTAAGCCATCTAGCCATCTTTGAAAATATAGGCGGTCCAGTGATGTCATCGGCCGTCCAAATGACAGCTGGACGGTTCTCTGGGAAAAGCCTTGTTCTGAATATGAAGAAGCGCGAGTTAATTTACAATCATGCGTGAATTACCTTAAACTAATTTAACTGTCATCGCGTTATATATATCTAATGAAGGACTCAGCTGTTACAGATTGGAACTCTTTAAAACTAAGGGTTTATCTTCCTTTACCACAAATACAGAATTAAATTTAGACATTGCAACCTTATTTCTGCCTATAACGTTATCAAAATACATGGTTTTGTTTTAACAACATAAGGGTATCGCTTGACCATAACTGATGACAAGATTTCTTTCAGTCTTATTTCAGTTAATACAGATTTGACATTTAATATGGAATATTTTTTTCCAAATCATTAGTCATCAGTTTTTCATATTTTGCCGACTGATAAATGAAAATAAGGATTGAAATCGTGTTTTAATAACTTTTATTAGTCTCTTTGATGTCATTGTGACAGTAGGTCATTAATTCGACAATGAAACAAACGAAAACACATTACCTATATTTTTAGTCATACGACAACCATTAAAAGCAATATTTTGGATCTCCATAATTTGCTAAATTATCATCTGTAAAAGATCGAGTTACACGACCCACAAAGGTCCCTCATGTCAGTGTCTAGTCACAGCAACGGTCGCTGTTACGCCTGACCTCATCTGGCTGCTACAGTACCAGGGCTCTCAAGCAGCAAGGCATTCCTTTGGATAGTTTTTTAAAGTTTAATCTGGAATAACATTCTAGGCATCGATCAAAACTTTAGTTTTGTTGTAGGACATATAGGCATTGATTCGGCAAGTAATGACCTACCCACGTATTGTCTATCTGGTTTAAATATGGCGATTTTGATGTCCAAGGTAGCTGCTCATTCCCTTGGTTTTGTAAGCTATCTGCTTTTAAAAGTGCTCTATGTGAACCGACAATCTCATTGTGCAACCTAAAATTGTTCCTAAGGTGCCCTCTATCAAATGATAGTTAAATGACTCCCAGATTATTCCTCTATTTGATGTGGTTTATGTTTTAATAGATGATTAAAATTGTTTTTTGGCACCAATGTGGTATGCACTTTCAAATACTGATGATGTCAGTGACCCTAGTCTCTTTAGACGCGGCACTCTCTTCAACGTAGGGCTCTTCAGGATGCCTGTAAACTCTGTTTTGATTGGTTGAATGGTACAGGTAAAATGTGACCTCAATAAAGAAAACCATGCGGTTTCAGTGTTCTTCCAAGAGACGGCCATATGGTCCACAATATACAATGTACTAGAGAATCAAACAACTACGTTTTTCTGTTAACAGTGCCTTCTCAGGGGTCATCTGGTGTTCTAATCTGGTGTTCGTTAAGGGCCTTGAAAAACACGTGCTGGTGGCAATTTGCTCCTCATTCTGAACGGGCTGGGTAGCTTTTGTTTAGTTGCAACAGCATATCCGGAGGGACAGTGAGTCCTGTACTCTGGTAGTAATTACGATTTCGATGCATTGGGTGAGGCTTCTGCGCAGGTACATCAGTCTGAGCATTACTCAATAGAACTGAACAGACCGCTCCGTGTGACACAATGATCTGTCTGCCAATGTTCCTCTTTTTCTGGCACAGATTAACAATTTTGTAAAGCACTGCTTATAGCTCATTTTACGCACTGTAGAGCATGCAAAATTTCATATTCTTCTATGCAGCAGTTGCCGACATATGGAGACTTTTTTGACAGGAAAGCCAAGCTTTGATCAGCCCAAAAGAGGACTACCCAAATAAAGCACTGCATATTACACAATGCATCAGTGAAACAGACACGTTAGTCTGACTATACACTTTTACATTCACATATCTTATTTTATCACGTTTTATATGAGATCGGAGTTTTTTGAAAACAGAATGCATTTTTACCTTCGCATACCTTTGAAACTAACATATCCCATATTAAATGCCAAGTCTGTAAATTAGATATCACATTTAAACGTACGTTGTGGGTTCATGCCCTATACACACGTGAAAACTAATAAATTCCTTTTTATTGACATTGGTTAGTTTGTTAGTTTGTTTGCAGACAAGTCTTAAATGAACATGACAGAATCAATTAAAATATTAAGGCAAAATACGATACAGCAGTAAAACTGCTAGCTGATACATGTAATGTTTTTTCTTAAATATTATTAGTATATTAGAACAGCAGACAAGTGCTCTTCTGAATCAAAATAATCTCTTCGAAATACGATATATTGTTTCTAATGTAGTCAAATTTTGAATAGCGGTTCATTGCTGGAAATGATATCTTAAAAACTAATTTATATACAGGGTTACTACTTAATATGGAATATTTTTTATCACTGCTATTTTTGAGTGCTGATTGAAAATTTTTCAGGCTTGATTCATCAAAAAAGTATGTCATTGACTGATAAAAATATCCAGTCTTCTATTGTAAGATAATTTTGTCAATAATATCAAATCTGACATAAGATGTCATTCAAAAGAAAAGAACACCCCCAGAAAACAATATCAACAGTTTGATGTCAGTATTAATTTTAAGCTAAGATATTAAAGAAAATGATAGCCTCCGGACAATGATATGTTACACAGTCAAAGAACTCATTAAAGTAAATCATGAGAAGTCATCAATAGCGAGTATGACATCTAGCAGCCGCTTGCAGCGCCCTCATCCTACATGGCATACCCTGTGACTAGTTTTTTAAGAGTTTGGATTGGGATATCATTCCAAGCAGTGATATTTGCCTGTCGCAGTTCATCACTATTTAGCGGCCGATGACAATAGCTATTAATTCTGTGAGTTAGTTCCGCCCACAGATTTTTAATTTGGTTCATATCTGGGGAGTTTGTAGGCCAGGGCAGTTGCTGAACCCATTGGTTTCGAAGAAAAACAGTGATTCTGCGAGCTCGATGTGGGGTTGCACAGCCGTCTTGGTACACAAAGTTGTTCCTGAAGATGACTCTTACAAATCGAAGCATTATTTGCTGTAGAATGTCTCTGTAGGAACCCTGGTTGAGGTTGCCTCCTAGAAAAACCAACTGGTTCTGGGCACCGGCATAAAATGCTCCCCAAACACAGTCGTTACCACCCCCTGCTTGCACCCTAGGCAGTACACAATCATCGTTTTATGCCTCTCGTACACGTCGGCGGACACGGCTTCGATCGTCAACCCTAAAAACTGCATATCTGGCCTCATCACCGAAAACGACGTGATTCCAGTGTTTTGGCTGCAAACGCACGTGGTCCCAGCCCATTGCAGACGTCGCTGTGTATGACCTGCTGTTAACAGTGATTTCCCTACTTGTCTTCGTGCAAAATAACCGGCTTGCAGTAATCTCTTGTTCACGAGGGACCTTGAAACGGGCGTTTGAATGACATTCTGCCACTCTTTTCTGAGGACACTGGTTATCTTTGTACGACCAGCACGGCGCACTTCTTGGTGTGATACGCGGGCACCCTGGTCGAGTTATTGGAGTAGGTGCCCCTGCTGTAGAATTTCTTTGGAGGACTTTACTAACGGTTCCTGATAAATGTTGCATTGGCTGGCAATGGCTGTCCGTTTCTCGCCATTTTCTCTGAGAGCAAAAATCCCATAGTAAGCTGCGTTGCTTAGCTGTCGAACCATATCTTCTCTAAGGTACCTGTCAAGTTTCAGAGCGATCCCTTAAGTGCTTCTCTAAACACACTCCAAAGATTGGCCAAACCCATGCTTTTTTATACAAGGGCAGAAATGCCGAAAAGACCACCCTTCTCATTTCTGACCACAGAACATGCAACTGCATGCATCAATTGTTTCGAGAGTTGTGTGGTAATGAGGTAACACACCTGGCTACACATGAAGTGACACCTCAGTTTTGGATTTAAAGTAGCTAGAGAGAAAATAAATATTTTGTAGAAAATTTAATTGCAAAAAAATAATATTCCATATTAGGTAGTAACCCTGTATATATACATGTATATATCATGATTGCTGACATTTCACACCTTAAACAACTGAAAGATCAATGTGCCTCAATATGACAAGGGGGATTTTCTGTTTATGAATGTTGCGAAAAATTCTGTCATGCCTTAAAATAGCTTAAACAAATTGTATTTGTTGCATAATCAGGGCACTGACCTCCATGTCAAAGAAATATATTAAACCATAAACTCTCATGTCTACTGCATGTCTAGAGGGGATAAAGGTAAAATTAGTAAATAAATTGTAAAACTTATTTATTTGAGTAGCGGAAATTTTTCAATATTATCTTACGAACTAACAAACTTGTTGACATTTCACACCTGAAGCAACTGAAAAATCAATGCTGTCTTGATTGTTATCGACATCGACAAATATATCACGTTATCACAACTACCGCAATGTCGCTGTAATAGGGTCATGAATATTTGAGTACATTTTGTCAACGCTCATTATAAAAGCGGGCGCACACCACTTCTAGGTGCGGTCAGGTTGCTCTCTTCAGAATGTTATAAGGTAAGGCACGTAGAACACTTTGGGTATGTACATATTTAGTTGTATATTTATTTCGATATAAAAGATTTGTAGTTTATTAAGTCAGGTGACATTAGTCTAAAGCCATCTTATATATATATATATATATATATATATATATATATATATATATATATATATATATATATATATATAGTCGACATGTACGTTATCCTTTTCGACAATTGCTTTCCTGGCCGCCACGTTGCTGTGTACGTAATCTTTAAGTTGCCGAATGTTGTCACCACCTCAAAACTCACCTCAGAATTTACCTCAGAATTCAACACAGATATCGCTACAAAATATCATTACAGATATTACAGATATTACACCATTAAATAGTACGTGCGTGAACAATAAAGGCGAACTTTAAAGATTTGTTTTGAGTTATTGACTGGTACACAGCAACATTGATTTTTGATATTTCATACTGAAAAATCAATGCGCCACTTGGGATAGGACCAGCCATGCCCCAAAGAGGTAATGGGAATTTTTTGTTAATGGAAGTTGAGGGCAAAATAATCCCTCATGCCTTAAAATAGCAAGGAAAGTTTTGTTTATGAAACATAAGCAAAGGACTGTATTGCATGCTCAAGATCAGTAGCAAGGCCACTCTTTACTGCCATGCAGCTTGGCATATGATTCTCAAGAATTTTGAAAGCCCCTCGTGCACAGGTGTGTCGTCAGCACTAGTTATGTCGACTCATCTAAAACAAAGACAATGTAACCGATAGTTTAGAAAAGTTCACCTATAGAAAGAGAGACAAAAAGCAAGGTGAGGAAAATTCCATTGTTCATAGTGAGCTGTTGTTGAAAGCAACATCTGCTTGAGACCAGGTTTTATACGTATGAGCCACAAAATTGAAGGGTGGTCCGGGGGAGGGGGGGGCTTTTTTTTTTTTTTTGAAAAAGTGAACCTTTCACTGAGAAACCTTTGTGTACCTGTATCATATTTTACCCACAACAGACCTTTACCAGGGGCAGACTATCTTCTGAGGGTCTACTATTCTGAAAAAAAAAACAAAAAAACAAAGGGACCTTCATCTAAAATAACTGCTGTTCCAGAAGTCTGTAATTCTGAATGTTAAGTTGAGGGTCCGCTATTCCAAAGGTCCGCTATTCCAAAAACGTTTACTGATGGGGTAGCTGCATTAAAACAAATTGTATTTGTTGCGTAATCAGGGCACTGATCCCATGTCAAAGAAATGCATTAAACCATAAACTCTCATGCAATAGTTTGCTATTTTGTTAATTGCTGTTTGCACTCTCTCTGTACCTTCAAAAAACAGGTGACCAAAATACTCAAAATATAGCAGCACATCCCCTTTTCCCACCGAAGAGGATGGTTTGTTCACCCCCCCCCCCCCCCCCAACACCCCACGTCCACTGCATGTCTAGAGGTAATAAAGGTAAAATTATTCAATGAATAGCTAAACTAATTTATTTGAGTAGCGGAGATACTGCTCAAGGTCACCATCCAAATTAATGTAGAAAAAATATTGAATATCACAGAGGTATATGGTGGTGGAGGTTGGTGGATACTGCAAAAATGACGAAATTTGTTAGAGAAAACGGCGGAATTATGTATAGTATCTTAAGAATTAACAAAATCTTAATTGTTCTCATTTGACAACTGAAACAACAGAGAGATGTGTCTGTACATATAGCCGTCACCTGCGTCTGTCGTCACCGTCGTCGCTTTCACCGTTGCTGTGCACTTTCGCCGATAACGCAAACGTAAAGTGGAAAACCAGTTTACCTTTGGCTTGAAACTTACGGAACTGATAAATTTTATAATACCCTGGTCAAGTTCGAAAATCAGCATGATCAGGCCATTATTTCCAAAGTTATGCTGTTTTTTTCACCTTTTTCCGCATATTATGTGCAACACTGATTACACGATAATTGGAAAAACGTTTGGTCTTTTGGCTTTAAACCTACAGAACTGATAAATATTCACAATACACATGCCCAGTTCGAAAATCAGCGTGATCGGGTCATTTTTTAAAGTTTCCCTGTTTTTTCGTTTTTTTTCATCATATGTGCAACATTGATAACACATACATTTCAAGGAAAACCGTTTAGCCTATTGTCTTGCAACTCACAACTATAGATCAAGTTCGAAAATAGGCTTGATCAGTTAAAGGTTTTGCTTCATACCGTCGGAATGGCCTGAACGGAGCATATTCTTCAGAAAACATGCCCAACTGACGATATCTTTATCCAAATACACAAAGTGAAAGCTCATTTTGTAAATTTTGGACTCTAAAAAACGTCCTTTTTGCTTAGCCTGCGAGTTAATGAGCTACGTGGTCACATAGTCTGATGACGACAATCGTGCCACCGGAGAACAGAGCGTGCTTAGCTGTCAAACTGAGCTGCATTGTCTACCTGTAAGATGACTTTTCTGTCTTCTGATAAAAGTTTACACTTATTCAAATCTCCTACCCTTGGGGTCTAAATCCTCGTCAAGTTGTGTAAAATCATTTCTCGTCTATTTAATTCTTAACAAGCATTTAATTATGGCTATCCCAAGTTGTATAAAACACTGCATTTGAATGACTTCAGGGTACTGTTGATTATTCCATATGAGGTCCATGTTATTAGTGAAATTCAATTAATTTTGTTAAACCGCTGACGCCCCGTCTTGCATACTTTTATTAAACTGAGGTAAACAATGCCTGTTACCTTTACAAGTCCTATCTTAATCATCCATCTTACTGGAACTTCCTTTACCTCTTAATAAATGGGTTAAATGACATTCAATTCTCCTTTAGCCTTTGTCTTGCGAGTATCGAACGTCTGGCGATATTTATCTCAGGTAAAAATCTACCTGTGCGGTAGTTACCAAGAGCCGCTCCCGCAGACCTGGGGGTACTAGATAAAATCTGAACACCAGGTTTATTGAGGAGCTAGAGAAACAAAGGGTGCATTCTCCCTGGGGGTTCACGCTAAATTACAGTCAGTCGAGCGCGCACCGTAGTTACTTACCCCCTTACAGCTTTTAGTAGGCGGGACAGACGCTTATGCCGGTGTAATGTGACAGAGAGTCTTCCATGATAGAGAGTCCGCTTCCCATCCATTTGTATAGGCGAGCCTCACCCTAGATTTTGACCCACTTAGGTCAGATTAACCCTAACCATTATAACTATATGGAGGGCTGACATTCTGTTACACGGACCCTCAGTTTCGTTACACCGGCTAAGCTGACAGTAATTTAGTGAGACTCCCCACGGGGATAGATCGATCTAAAATCTATGGGAATGGGGTCAAAGGACGAATTTTTCCAGCACAGCTTCATAGGAATTTTAACACGGACTTGATCCAGCTTAGACCTCCAAACTAACAGGGTGACATGGGCAATTTTTACAAACAAACAATAAAACTTTATTTCAGTTAGCCTCCCTTAAAATAAATATACCGTTCTGGGTAAATTAGAATATTTATTAAATCGCGAGAATATTTTTGACTTGAATGATGATATTATTATTAATAGAAATCCAGCTACTATATGTGGTACATTTGCTGTGGTTACGCTGTCCTTCATGTTTTGCATTAGTCTATATTTTGCTGTACGTGCTTGGAATTTTTTAAAAACTGTGCATACAATTTTTCCAGGTCTGGTTACGCCCCTGTTATGTGATGAAAGTCTAAATTTGGCAATTAGTTCCTTAGCTTATTTAAATAGAATTGCAGTGTTTAGTTTTCAACAAGATGTTTGTGCAATAGCCCTTTACTCTTTGTGGATATTTCCCTCGTCAAAGTTTGTCTAAAATTATCTTTCAGTCTTTACTCTTTCAAGTATAATGTATAAAGTTATCTGGCATATTTATGACAAGCCAAGTGTCTCCAGTTCATTCCGTACTCAATTTTACCCAAGCAAATTTTTTCTTGAGTAGATCTTTATAGCACGCTGTTATAATACAATTTTTCGAAGAGGGGATTTAAATCAATATTAAAATTGGGTATCTCCCGCTTTTCATAATATACTTAGTTATGCACAATGAACTTAGTTATCAGTAGTGCTCTTTTTTACACCCAACATTCTTTTAAAAAAATCCGTATGTGCCTTTCTTATATCCCTTACCAGGTTAAATCTCCATGCATAATTTAAAATATACTAACGTACGTAAAACTGCAAATTTAGTAAACACATTAAAGTAATGATTTTTTCCATGCTACTAGTAGTAAACAATGCTATTTTACCTTGATCTGCTACATGTATTTGGGTTTGACAAAGCTTACAAATTTGCAAAGTTTTGCCTACAGACGCAGAACTTGCGTTTCAAGTTATAAAATGATAAATCTTTTAAATTATTTAATATTTCAGATGAAATAATCTTCAGAAACAAATCCTCAAAGCATAAACGAATTAGGTTTACGAACCATTTTTTCAGCAGTTTCTATTTTTTCTTTGATATACCGCTCTTTTTCCTGTTTTTCCTCAACACGTTTTCTTCCACGGAAGTAATGCCTGTGCAAACGCATTCTTCAAGATACCCTGAGAGCAATCACTTTTATTAATGTTTGCGATCGTGTTTGAACTCACTTGTTTAAATATTGATATTTAACGTCATTTACAAATACCAATAAAATAACCCCATGAAATAAATGAGATATATTGAAAAATATGAGAGTCCACCAAGACAAGTTTGATACCTGTTATTACCTGGCTTGGGAGTGCAGCGGTGCATAAATAACAGGTTTTATTGTTAACGAGTTCTTAGTCAACTGCAGTGCATTTAAAATTCATCAGCAATTAGTAAGCTTGCCAACAGATGACAGTTAATCTGAAAGACTAACAGCTTTTGATATGGTCTAAACTACCTGAGGGGTCCATGATCTCGACCATTGCAAATATTGTCACCGAAGTTAGTTAGTAAGTCACGGAAGACCGTCACAGACAAAGAAAAGATTGTCAACGAGTGCTGCAATTTTGGTGAATCCCACGGCAACACACTGAGGCATAACGAAAATTGCTCAACTCCGTTCAACACAACTTGCCTAAACTTCTCTGTCTGTATGCACCATGCAGCTCAGTTGAGTCACATAGACCTTAATCCTCATTGTCGTCACAGTACCACGTGACCCAGATCTGTTGCTCCATTTATGCATATTGAGGTGAGGTTTACTAGAAGGCTTTTTTCCATTAATAGATTTTTGTATAATTTTAAATGGCGGGGATCGATTAAAACACACCTCTAGTGTATAGATTGAGTGCTGAATCTATAGAATTCAAGAAATGGATTTTTATGTGTCTTAAATCCTTTAAGTTTGAGGAAGCTATGGCATTTTTTATATAAGTGGTTTTTCTTCAGATTTCATTCTAACGCATGTTAACAGTTGTGTTGTGTAATAAAGTGTCAAAAATGGAACTAAACTCACATTATTGCAGTTTATCAGATTCAATCATTCATTATGTTCAGAATCTCAGAATGGAGCAAATTGGACATTTAAAATTGTATTATTGATATTTTTCCTATCTCAACAGTTTTCTTTATTAATAATTGAAGAAAAACCCTATTTTGATCACTTCCTCCATAGTGACCATAAAGGAAAACCATGTCACTCACTCTTCTAAAGCTTACTGAAAAGTAACATAGGACTTAAATACAGCTTGGAAAACAGTTTGTCCTGAGGAAGGCTCTTGAGTAGAGCTGAAAATTTGACGGTAAAAAGCATTGTCTGTGACACTACTAATTCAAAAAAAAAAAAAAAAAAAAAAAAAATCAGGGATAATTACCAGACTATTGAACCTTTTTAAGAACTAACGATTAGAATATTTCGTGCAATGCCAACATTAATGCCATAGATGAATAACAGTGCCTTATTATCCTCAAAATCAATGGGGCCATTCATGTAATTTTAATACAGCTAGAATAAAAGTTTGAATAGCAGCTTTATTAGAATATTTTTTGTCATGGTTTTTTTTAATTTTTTTTTTAAATTTTTTAAATTTTCAAACACTGGCATTTTCAAGATGTGGATTTTAAATCCCATCCACCTGAAGCTCTGTACATTTTCTGTATTTCCACATAAGCAGTATTATTGGTATTTATGTCTTTAAACATTATGTTATATTGACCTTTTGATTATTTTATGCACTGTCATCATTTTTTACATATTGCGACATTTTTATTATGTGAATTTGAACTCTCATGGTCCCGAAACTAATCTTATTGACCGTGTTACCTGTTGTGCATGATTAAATTTTAATGTTGATTGACTGTGCTGTTATAACTATTATTTATTATTGCATCGATATTGACAAAATGACTTATTTTCTGCATCTTTATTTTCTAGTTTTTGTCTGTACATTTGGCAGCTTGCTACCTTTGTCTTGATTGTTGATATTGAAGATTTATGTCTCCTCCATCTCGGTGTACCACAAGCTTTTATGGTCTCATTCATAGCAAGAAAGAAGGCAACAAGGAGTATTGATTGTTCGTGATTTGGCCAAACAAGGCCGCTTTTATTATATAACCCCTCTATCCTGATCGTTTTAACAATAATAACAATGTAGCAAATTGTTGCCTGTATTAAATGTTATGGCCTTAGGGATAAAAATTATATATCAAATATTCAATAAGACTCATCATCCTAAAAATTATGATGCGACGAGTCAGCAAAAGTTATTATTTACCAACAATTTTGCACAAATTTCATTTGTGGGGTTGCAAAGAGGCCTAAGAACTAAAAAAAGTAATTGTTGACATTCCAAACGTTAAGCATCTGAAAGATCAATGTTATCTTGATTGTTGATATTTCATACCTGAAACAACTGATAATCAATGTACCACTTGAGAAAAGACCAGCCATGCCTCAAAAGATGACGGGGATTTTTTTGTTTATGAAAGTTGAAGAAAAAATCCCTCATGCCACAAAATAGCAAGGGGATTTTTTTGTTTACGAAGAAAGATTTATTAACTGTTCATTAACTAACTATCTATCTATCTAACTATCTTTACCAGGGGCAGACTATCTTCTGAGGGTCTACTATTCTGAAAAAAAAAAAAAAAAAACAAAAAAAAAAAAAAACAAAGGGACCTTCATCTAAAATAACTGCTGTTCCAGAAGTCTGTAATTCTGAATGTTAAGTTGAGGGTCCGCTATTCCAAGAGTCCGCTATTCAAAAAAAGTTTACTGATGGGGTAGCTGCATTTAAACAAATTGTATTTGTTGCGTAATCAGGTGTAGTGGTGCAATTTCTCCGCAATCCAGAATAACAACGCTGTGATTTCTTTTTCATAAATTTAATAAGATAATGAAATATTTAAGCTACTAAGTGCACAAGCTGCTAATCGTCTGCTGCGCCGCCATGTTCCTTTTTCCGCCGACGCTACCCTGGTTTATGCACACCGCACTATATTTACCCCGTTACATGCCTCCCCGGGCAGATAAGACTCGTCCCGAGTCTCCAACCTATTTACTCCTGACTGTAACTAAGTCCCAACACACTAAATCAACACTGGGTCTAAATCCTTGAAAGAGTTCACAACATTAATATCAACAATATTGTTGCGGATGTCGATCAATTTTATTCAAATGTCAACGATATATAACATCAACTGGTGACATCAACTGGTACTGTGTATCGTCTTGTATCAGTTACATCAAGTTTCATCAACTTAAGTCAACTTACATCAATTTTCCACTGGAAACAACGTGAAACTCGTTGCGAGACTGTCTAAAAAAGTTAACATGGCACGTGCTGGGCAAAAACTAAAAACCATCAACACCGATACTACAATTATGCTACTTGTCAGTTACATGGCTCCCTTAAATTGTGAATCCCACAATTTACTTAAACTATCATTTAATATCAAAACTCTAACACAAATCCAAAAATTTAACATCCATTACCATACTACATACATATATATATCAAAACAATTTTGTTAACTTAACTTTACCTTCTCTATTAAACAATTTTAAACTCAATAACCATCACTATATGACTATAAGCATTATGCATCAAAGTTTATGAGCAATTACTGAACATAACATAAACCAACATTGTAAGCATATCTATCTCTCTCACACATGTCAACCTGTCATTCACATGAAAACAAACCCTTTCCTTTTTAAACGAAATGTGAAAACAGTCTTAATTTTAAAGATTCTATACATTTAACAGTCCATAACACTGAAATTAATCCAGTCCAGAGTTTATACAATGTGCCAGTCTAAACATAAAAAGTTCACTCAAGTCAACTGATGGCTCCTCGACGGGGATTCCCCTTAAAATTACAGTT